CCCTCAAGCTTGAGGCATTCCTTCCATTTGGGAAATTAACCACGATTTGGGGTTCTCTTCCTGCATTTATTCTCCAGACCAGCAAGTTACAGGAAGAGACATAGGTGGGGTTTTGCTAAGTACAGTTTAGCAAGTTTAACAATAGAAGCTTGTAACATTCAATTAAGTCTATCCATTAACAAAAGCTTGATTCTAGCAAACATTCCTTCTCCCTCCAGCAGCTTCCCAGTAACTTTACATATCAATCAGTAACTAGCCTGTCTTTGAACCAGCAGCCCTACTGTGTTACAACTCTTTATCTTACCACAGAGACTAAATAGCCTGGGGAAATTTTCCTGTTTTTTGTAAGGTCAATACTTGAAACTGCAAGGCTTTGGAAAACCAGGCCCTGTGAAGTACATTTGCTTTATGAATCCTCTACATCAAACGTGTTCGACATTCTGAGCCAGTGGATCTGGAGTGGGTGGAGGGCAGGCATATCTGGTAGTCCTGGGCTTGGGATACCATGGGATTTTCAACCCCACATCCTGCAGCTTCATGCAGGAGGGCTATACTCTAATGGTGATAGTGAAGGTGTCATTTTAACCAAGATTTGTTGCTTGTCCTATTTGATAATTTGATTGAAAGCCTGTGGATTTAAGTAAGGGATTTTGTTCTCAATTTTATCTCCTTTCCATGTTCTTACTCTTTTATAATCTGCCTTGCCCTCTCATGATAAAAGTGTTTGAAGGTTTAGCCTCAGTGTGATTTCCTGGATTTGTCAGGACCAATTCTCTGTGGCTACTCTTTGCCCTTTCACAAGAGCCTGTGGTTTCCCCAACACTCCCTGGTTCCCCAACAGTGCTGCTGCTTGGCCCTAGGGGAGTGGCTGGAGTTTTTAAGCTCAGAGCTCTGTCTGGGCCCAAGTCCAATGAGTCACAGAAGGCTCAGTCTAGAGAGAAGAAAAATGTCCTGATAGTGCAGTTCTGCCCCAAAGGTCACCTCCTTCTGTGGTTCTCCTGGTATTCCAAGCACATCCATGGGAAAAGAGTCCTGGCAGCGCCTAAAGGCCTTTTGTACGGTGGAGTTTTTGTAGAAGAATCATGGAAGGAGAAAGGATTTACACAATTTTCTGCATTTATTGAAAGTGTTTAGTTTCTAAACTGTGTTAGGTGGTGGGAGGTGTGTCTGTGTGATAGGTGACTATGAGGAAAATATGAAAATTACCACATAGGAACAATCCTAAGGAAAAACCACAAAGAAACATTTCAAGAAATTTTCATATTTCAAGAAAAGTTTGTAATTTCACTTCAACAGAAAAAAGAACCTTTGAATAGTTATTTAAAATATATACAAGATGGCTCCATCAGTTTAAATGGAGAATGGAAGAGAGACAGACAACTTGAAGCATTTTTTTCCACATCATATACAGGGGAAAAGAAAAACACTGAAAAAAATACAAGGGGAAAGAAAAAAACTGAGTAAGTTCTAAATCTGGAGACTTTAATAATTACTATTATTAAAATAAACTGCTCCAGAATTTGGGTCATTTGAGGTTCCTGACCCACCAGCAATAACTAGACAAGAAAGATGGGTTCATCTCATAGAACACTACTGTAAATTTTTCCCACTGCTTGGACCTTGCCTTGGAGTAAGAATGAGCAGGTGGGCAGACATCAACTCAGCCTACTGCGTACAAGGGAAGAAAGTAGGAAGCAGGGGGCAGGTATCTCATCCTCAAAGAGCTAAACACTCAGGCTGGAAAAATGAAGCACAAATTTACACATAAAAAATTAACGTAACAGCAATGTTGTCTTCTCCAATACATTTCCATAATGGGTAGGGCTCCTCAGAGGAAGAAAAGGAAAAGGTAAGGATAAAAATAGAAAACAATCTCCTGCAATATACATTCTGGAGCCTGTATTGATTTGAATGACTAATCAATTGCCTTCAAGACAAGGTCTTCTACCTGTAATATATACACATTTTCATTAACAATGGAAAGAAAATAGCCCTGGAGCTTTGACCAGTCCTCTCGTGAAAGCAATCCACTTCCTCACAGCTGACCCAAACTGTTCTGGAAACACGCATCCTCCCTGTTCATTAAAGACACTGGAACAGGCTTCCAGTCAAGATGGTGGAATAGACAGTCCCCAGCATCACTCTCTTCTACAAATCAACCAATTTACAACTATAAAAAAGCAATGACAGCCAAGGTAGGACCACTAGAGCCCAGGGGAAGAGGAAGAGAGACCTACGGAGTGCATGAAGGTGGGAGAAGCCATGACGAGAGAAAGAAAGAACTTCTCCGACCATTTTGGGCCATAGCTGCTTTAAGGCTGGAGCTGCTGAGCACACAGAGCAGGAGCTGGCTGTGCCCTTTGGATGAAGTTGCTTGGAGGCAGCAGGGGAGAAGAGGGCCTTGGTGGCTCCCAGGACAGCAAGACCACTATGTGGGTTCTCGTGGACCCACATAGGAGTGAGGAGCCACAATGACTGAAAAACAGGAGTCACTCAGAGGCTGGTGAGTCATCGCAAGGGACTGGTGCATGGCCCATCCCACAGGAAGTGTTTGGAGCATGGGTGGTGGGAGAGATGGGTCCATCGGGGGAACACTGGGGCACAGCAAGGACAGCCGATCCCCCAGACCAGAGTTTCTACACAATCCAGGTGCACTGGGTCTCTGGAGAGCCAGAAGTACCTATAAGATCAACCTTTAAACCCGGAGTTGCACAAAAAGTCTTCCCTAGGGAATCAGCAGCAAAGCAGCAATTTAGCTCAACAACACAGCTCAAGTACTAGTTCCCACAGGAAGTTCCCCCATTTTATTTATTTATTTAATTAATTAATT